GCTCTAAGGAGTCTATTGATCAAAAGCTCCACTTCCATCACTCTATGTGCCACATGTTCCAGATTCCCGCGTAAAAAAAGCCAGAACCTTATCGAGGGCGATCTACCACAGCCCCAACATCTGGCGTACTCTTGTGTGCTTTACGAGTAAGTTAAAAACCCGGGCCAATAGCCCAACTGACCCAATGCAGTCGTGGCAGTCAGCATCAAGTTTCGCTAAAAATATTTTGGTTCGGAAAGAAGGGGGAAGAAAACGGACATAAAAGGGGGCCAAGATCTGGCAAGCCATACCTCACCCGACTCAGCCACCGGATGGCTCTCTCGTCCATCCACCTTGTACCCCGCGTCCTTCATCTCATGCGAGTCCAGTCCTTTTCATCGAGACCGACTCTCCTGCTTAGAACGTAAGCAGCCACTGTTGCCAGCCAGAGATGCACCGCCTCACACAACACATTTCCAATCCAACTCTCCATTAACGATATAAACGGCAAAAATTTGATTCAAAAGTTGACGAATTCATGTACGTGTATCTTCGACAAGTCTCAGTCCATCTTCCGACTTCTCTTATTCAAATTAACGACCAAAAATGCCAGGGCACAATGCGCGAGCTGCCATCCCGATCAAACTCTACCACACGCTTTGAAACAAACCCATCATACCTTGTCACACTTCACCCCTCTGCCAACTCCACTTCCATCTTCCTCCTCCAACGATTTCCCTGTGTTGCTCTTCGCCTTTTTATGGGAATCAACCAACCTTCTCCCTTCCATTCCCAGCAGCATGTAATTGTCCTGCCCCTTCGATAACAGCAAGTCAAACGTTGGCGCAGTGCTTCGCAGAGCATACTCCATCCAGTTTGCTATATTTGCCGTACCAGTTCCCAGACCAGTCACTTTTGTAGACAGTACCGATGGCATTGACAGTACCAAAAGCACAGAGAGATGGGGATGAAAATCCGCACCTCTGGCTGGAGTCTGGACCGTGCGCCATGATATACCAGAGCACCTGCTTTCTCAACCACTGGGTGAAGGCTTGAAGATATTCCACTACCGAGCTCTGAAACATACGTTGCGAAACTTGCAGCGAAGAACCTCTGCTGGCATGGCCGCAGCCGTCGCTCATGACCACCTTCATTCGCCACACTTGTACCGGACAATACCTCTCACTTGCAAATAGTGCCACACACTATCCCAGGCAGTGCACTCCTATCCCTGGCACACCACTTGTAGACTTACATGAATGTGCTCTCTCACAAACGACAGTGACACCTATCATCATATTCATGACAGCCATTACAATAGCCATTCTCCATACACCACCGATTCCCACCATAATCACATCAGATTCACCACCATCATCACTACCCTTTCCACAATCATATCATCCTAGATGACTCACAGATGTTCTCTCTCTCTCTCTCTCTCTCTCTCTCTCTCACACACACACACACACACACACACACACACACACACACACACAC